AGGGCCGACCCTGGCAAGTCCTTGGAAGGGCGACCTCCAAAGAATACCAGGGCTGGGACGCAGAGGCAGGCAATATCAAGCCACCTCTCTGAAAACATCCTAGCCCAACTAGAAATAGAAAGGAAATAGCTAGAGCAGGGGTGTCGAACTCATTTGTTATGAGGGCCGGATCTGACATAAATGAGACCTTGTTGGGCCGGGCCATGTGTGTCATAAAATGTAATGCCAGATAGCAAAGATATAAACTTTATAAAGGACACAAACAGAAAGGGTTTTTTTTTACTTAAAATAAAAACATGCTTAAAACATAAGCACTCTTGCAATATTTTGTTTATTTAACAGTGTCTGATAACTGACACCTCTTGCTCTGAAGTATTGCAGCAAAATGTCTGTGCTGTTGCAATCCTGAGGATGCTATTCAGGTGTGTATCTGTAAGCTGCAAACCTACGATGACGCAGCATTAGCAGCAGAACTGGAAGAAGAAGAAGCAGAAGACAGCCAGTTCCACTGCGGGCCTGATAGAAGCCCTCTGGGGGCTAGATGCAGCCCCCGGGCCACATGTTTGACACCCCCGGGCTAGAGGGTGGGGCTAAGAGACTAAGTTACAATAGTGTGGGGGGAATGGAAGCAAAGGCAGAGAAAGAGGGGGTGTGGTGTGTTTTCCCCTCCGCCTCCTCTGACCACAATTCAGCGAGGATTGGCGAAGCCACTATGGGGGACTGGGGGGGGGGGGCACTGCCAAGCGGCCATCAACCAGCTTCACATTTTTTCAAGTGGCGACCAAGAGGGGGGTTGGTGAGAGTGGGCGTGCAGAGCAGCGGTTTGCCAACAGAGGGAAGAGGCCTGCTGGGGGGGGGAGAGGCTCAGAACGGGTAACATCATGCTAAATACGTTTCCAGTGAATAAATACAACACGTGGTTTGGGAGTCAACTGGGCTGTCTTGTGTGTGTCGCTCTGAGGGGGGGAAACAGCCAGGCTTCGGAAGGCAATGGAGGAGCAAAGGGGGAAAAGCTGCAGCCACAGAGCCATAAGAACATAAGAGACGTCAATGTTGGATCAGGCCAGTGGCCCATCCAGTCCAACACTCTGTGTCACACAGTGGCCAGAAATACCAGGTGCCATCAGGAGGTCCACCAGTGGGGCCACAACATTAGAAGTCCTCCCACTGTTGACCCCCCCAAGCACCAAGAAGACAGAGCATCACTTGCCCCAGAGCCCCTATCTATACCTTGTGGCTAATAGCCACTGATGGACTTCTGCTCCATATGCTTATCTAATTCCCTCCTGAAGCCGTCCATGCTTGTAGCCGTCACCATTTCCTGTGGCAGTGAATTCCATGTGTTAATCACTCTTTGGGTGAAGAAGTACTTCCTTTTATCCGTTCTAACCCAACCACTCAGCAATTTCATTGAGTGCCCACGAGTTCTTGTATTGTGAGAAAGGGAGAAAATAGAGCCATAAGAATATAAGAACATAGAAAATAGAGCCATAAGAACATAAGAACATGAGAGAAGCCAATGTTGGATCAGGCCAGTGGCCCATCCAGTCCAACACTCTGCGTCACACAGTGGCCAAAAATACCAGGTGCCAGCAGGAGGTCCAGCAGTGGGGCCAGGACATAGAAGCCCTCCCACTGTTGCCCTCCCCCAAGCACCAAGAAGACAAAGCATCCCTTGCCCCAGACGGAGAGCTCCTATCTACACCTTGTGGCTAATAGCCACTGATGGACCTCTGCTCCATATGCTTATCTAATTCCCTCCTGAAGCCGTCCATGCTTGTAGCCGCCGCCACCTCCTGTGACAGTGAATTCCATGTGTTAATCATTCTTTGGGTGAAGAAGGACTTCCTTTTACCAGTTCTAACCCTGCTCAGCAATTTCATTGAGTGCCCACGAGCCCGGAGGTAGAGTGAATGTCAGGGAGCATGGGGGACAGTATCCTCCCTCCTCGCCCCACCTTGGGCTGGGGGGATCTGGAAGAATGAGGTTCAGACCCCCCTCCCCGATCCAGGACCCTCTTGTCTGAGGCACCCAGGGCTGGTCGCTCAGCCTGTCCCACCTCACAGGGTTGTTGCTGGTGGGGAGGGGGGGCAATGGAGGGGGGAGTCCAGTATGTCTCCTCAAGATCCTCAGAGGTAGGATGGCAGAAGAAGACTAAGAAGAAGAAGAAGAGGAGGAGGAGGAGGAGGAGGAGGAGGAGATTGGATTTATATCCTGTCTTTCACTACCCAAAGGAGTCTCCTAGTGGCTTACAATCCCTTTCCCTTCCCTTCCCCACAACAGACACCCTGTGAGCAATGCTCCCTCCAAGCTGTGGAGTCTTGTGAGCAAAAATTCTACCTTGTGAGCTCCTGGCATTAAAGTTGTGAGCGAGCAATTTGGCTGCTGCATAAATTAGTTTGCTCCAGAGCCATCCTCCCTGAGCTAAGACAAAACTGTGTGAGCCGGAGGCTAAAAAACTGTGAGCTGGCTCACACTCAGCTTAGAGGGGACACTGCCTGTGAGGTAGTTGGGGCTGAGAGAGCTCTTTCGAGAACTGCTCTTGACAGAACAGCTCGGAAAGAACTTGTGACTGACCCAAGGTGACACCAGGCAGGTGCATGTGGAAGAGTTGGAAAGCAAACCCGGTTCTCCCAGGTTAGAATCCATGCTCCTACACCAAACAAGAGTGAGAGACAGATCGTAGCCCTGCTTGGCTGATGAGACTGGGATTTTGGGGAGGGGGTGCTGAATAATTACCATATTTAATTGCAAGGAAGATGACTTGTCTCCTAAAAGTGCTATCTGTACACAAGGTAACTAATTTGTATGGAAATGTAAGATATTCTCTCCTCTTTTATGGTATCCCTTGGGGAAAAAACTAGTCTGGCATATGATTAAATACATTTACTGCCATCTTTGTGGGTTCCCCAGTAAATCACTTGTTTTCATTGCTAGGAATCAATTGCTTTTGTTTGTATTTTGAGTAAAAATAATATTGTCAATTGGGTTTGCCCGTGTCCTGCATAAAGTTTACATCTCCGGTACCTGGAATTACATTTTTTGACTCCTGTGGCCCGGCCTGACAAAGCGACATTCATATCAGATCTAGCCCTTGTAACAAATGGGTTCGACACCTATAGTTTCATGAGTCAGTTTGGCATAGTGGTTAGGAGCACGGACTCTGATCTGGGAGAACTGGGTTTTATTCCCCCCCCCCGCTCCTCCACATGCAGCTGCTGGGATAACCTTGGGTCAGTCACAAGTTCTCTCAGAGCTGTTCCCTCATGAGCAGTCCTGGAAAGAGCTCTCAGCCCCACCCACCTCACAGGGTGTCTGTTGTGGGGAGGGGAAGGGGAAGGAGTTTGTGAGCCGCTCTGAGACTCCTCTGGGTAGTGAAGAACATAAGAACATAAGAGAAGCCAATCAGGCCAATGGCCCATCTAGTCCAACACTCTATGTCACACAGTGGCCAAAAATACCAGGTGCCATCAGTGGGTCCAGCAGTGGGGTCAGGACACTAGGAGCCCTCCCACTATTGACCCCCCCCAGCACCAAAAATACAGAGCATACAGTCCCTATCTATACCTTGTGGCTAATAGCCACCGATGGACCTCTGCTCCATATGCTTATCTAATTCCCTCTTGAAGCCATCCATGCTTGTAGACACCGCCACCTCCTGTGGCAGTGAGTTCCATGTGTTCATCACTCTTTGGGTAACCCGACTGCTCAGCAATTTCATGGAGTGCCCACAAGGTCTTGTCTTGTGAGAAAGGACTTCTTTCTCTGCCTGCTCTGTGCCATACATAATCTTACAAACCTCGATCATGTCACCCCTCAGCCGTCGTTTCTCCAAGCTAAAGGCCACTTGGGGGACAGCCGCTCGGGGCGCCATTGGGCACAAGGAGTCAAAGGGCGCGGCCCCGGGGCTGAGGGAGGCCGGAGAACCTTTCCCGAATGACGGGCGACCGGTGCCGTCGGCCGTAGAGATTTAAAGGGCCCCTTCCCAGGCCTGGGGGATGAGGAAGAACCCCTCGTGGCTGTCCCCCTCGCGGCAAGGCACCGTTGGGCACAAGGTGTCAAAGGGCGCGGCCCTGGGGCTGAGAGAGGCCTGGGAACCTTTCCTGGCTGACCGGTGACCGTAGTGATTTAAAGGGCCACTTCCCAGGCCTGGGGGATGAGGAAAAACCCCTCGCGGCTGCGAGGGGCGCCATTGGGCATACGGAGTTAAAGGGTGCAGCCCCGGGGCTGAGGGAGGCCAGGGAATCTTTCCCGGCTCACCCAGAGGCCGTCATACCACTCTGCGGCCTGTCATTCCAGTTCCAGAACACTCCTGCTCCACCCTGGGGCTGTGGTTCGAATCCGTGGTCTCTCACTGGTGTTACACACCCAGGGGCTGTCATTCCACTCCGTGGTCTCTCATTCCAGCCCCAGAACCCTCCTGCTACACCCAGAGGCCGTCATACCACTCTGCGGCCTGTCATTCCAGTTCCAGAACACTCCTGCTCCACCCTGGGGCTGTCATTTCACTCCGTGGTCTCTCATTCCATCCCCAGAGTAGTGTATTTGGGCACAGAGACCCTAATAGAAAATCCATTCCACATTTTTATTGCAACTCTACTTGTACTGTAATGTATTTCAATGGAGTCCATGGAAGTCAATTGGCATTCCCATCTCCTATTATTTCCAATGGGCCTTCAAGCCTCTCCCATTGTTTCTAATGGGCAATCCTGTCCTTCCTTTTAGTACATCCCAGCTAAAGGCGCAGGAATTCTATCTGGGAAAAAATGTTAGCGACGCTCTCCATCAGGGTGGGGTGGGCGTCGGAAAAAAACCAGACTTCAAAATGCACCCTAATGCAAGACTTCACTTGCTCTGGAGTCCTACAGACACTAAAGTTCCCTGCGAACAACCAGAAAACCCGCCCTACTCTATAAGGAGAACATACAGAAGATTCCGCGCGTCCAGAAAAAGAGACCAAAAACGATACAATCCCCAGACCTTTACCGCCGCCATCTTACCTCTCAGTTTACATCGACATACCGGCAGCCCAATCAGAGGGGCGGGAAAGAGAAAGGAAACCAATACCGTTGCTAGAAGAGTGGAGGGGCAGGGCTATAGTTGTTTTGGGTGCAGTGTCGGCAAGGCTCCGCTAGAGGGTGGCGAGAACTAAGAAATATACGTTTCTGGCTGAGTTAAAAGAATTGGATAGACGAGCGAAGGACGGGGCTTTGTTAGCTCCATGAGATCTTTGCTGGTATCACGCACTGTTTATGAGAATTGTTCATCATCTCTTCTAATAATGCGTTCATTTACTCCCCAGTTTCTTTTCTTTAATAGCTCTTATTTTTCTTCTTGTCTGTCTAGCTTCTGAGCATGTGCAGGATGTATTTCCAATCTCTGCATTTAGGATAAAGATGAAAGCAGACGTTATTTTAAAAGTTTTAGACTTTTATTCTGTGTTTCTGTTATTATATCATCAAAAGCTGTCTTGAGCATTCTTCTTGTAGAATGTTATTTTTCATTTATACCCCACTTTCTTTCCAATGGCGACCCAAAGCAGCTAACAGCATTATCCCGTTCTCTATTTTATCCTCACAACAACGCTGTAAGGTAGGTTAGGTTGAGTTTTGACTGACCCAAGTTCATCGAGGAACCTCCATGGCCAAGAAGGGATCTGAATTCAGGTCTCCCAGATCCTAATCCATTACACTATGGTTGCACCCTCCTCCACACGAAACCTGCCACAGTCTTCCAAGGCTCCATGCAAACTGGCCCAGCCTTACCCTAGAGCTTCATTCCCTTGCTTCATTCCCTTGGCCCCACCTAAGGTTCCCAACAAATTTGAAGACCACACCAAGTAAAGTGGCAGGACATGTTTTCTCCAGGTTGTTGGCCACCCTAACAATCAAGACATAGCAACTCTGGTCCTGAACCACAAATTAGTCCCAGCTGCCTAAGGAAGGTCGTACCAGGAAGGAATACCTCCTGCTACCTTTTTCCCCTTTTTAACTCTTCCCCCCACACACATCTCTGATTCTAAGGAAAGAAGCAGAGATACAGAGAAAACAAAGCACATAGGGTGTGGCGAGCAAGAGAAATATAAAGTGACCACCTGTTATTAGGCACTGCACATCTGCAGTCAGGGTAAAAACCCTGGAGAGAGAAAGAGCGAGAGAAAAGGAAGGCTGAAAGCCATCAATCTATTCTAGACCATTGGTCTTGGAGCCATGACTGACAGCAGGGTTGTGACCTGAGTTAAAGGGGTGCCAGAAACACATTTTGGAACAGGAGAAAAAAGAAAGGAGGAGGAGCAAGACTGGCAGAGAAAGAGAAGGGGAGAGAGAAAAGCAAAACTAGGGCAAATAAAAAGCCACCAGAGTGAGTGCTGCTCCAGGAATGTAGCAATATGTAGGGTTAAAAAAATATAGTATTGAACCCCCCCCCCCAAATGGTGCACCTCAAGGCTAAGAAGAGCATAGTTCAAGCTTTCTCCCCACTGGAAACCTTGTCTGTCAAGATTCCCTGTGTATGAGCCACAGAACACTTACACAGCGTGAAGGATTCTGGGTCACATTCTGTGGCGCACTCAGTGTTTGCATGGTAGCAGCCAGACATGTCAGGCCTGGGAGTTGTCAACATAGAATGTGTCCCATACACTTCTGTAGCTCCATGTTTTAAGAGGAGGAAATCTGTCTCAGCAGACAAGCTTGTCAGCCATTCCTGGTTTCATCGAGACACCCCCCCCCCAGTTAAGATTCCAGTGAATCCCTGGGGTCCCCCATAAGCACAGTCTGAGAAAACCTCTGGTCCAGTATTGTTACCTGGCATATTCTGAATTCAGCCATATGCTACAAAAGACCCTTCTTTGACCCCAAAGTAGCAGGCATCTCTGGCCAGACATGGCCTGGAGACCTATAATTTCAGAGTTTCCCCTCGTTTAATTAAGGCTCCTGACTAGCGGCTGAGAGGCAGGATGCCCTCATGTCAGTGTCTGGCTCCCCTCTCAGTTAGCAGTTCAAGGCCCTGACTTCAGCACAGCCAGAAACCTCCAATTGCAGCTTAGCCCAAGGGTGAGCCAGCGGTCAGGAAAACCAACCACACAGAGCACCGTGGAAAGGCAGGGAGGGAGGCTGGTTCCTGTTTCCAGGTGAGGCATGCAGCTGGCAAATACTTTTACCTGGCAGTCATCCAGTTGCTGATCAAAGCGGTAGCCTAGCCGTGCCAGGACAACTCTGTTGTTGTTGTTCTTGTCTCCCAGCATGCCTTGCACTGGCACCCAGCCATTATTCACTCACAACTAAATCATGCAAAAGCAACATGGGTATTTGGCTTGCAGTTAGACCTCTGCTATACAAGCAGATGTGGTGTCTGGCTTCCTCAGTCTTGGGGAGGATAGTATGTTCTCAGTGACTGCTCCATATTTGTGAAACTCCCTTCCTCCTTGAGATCCATTGAAGCCTGGGTTCAAATATATTCTGGAAAACCTTTCTCTTTAGTATGGCGTGCGACAGCTGGACTTAGCAAGTGTAAGAGGGGAATTGTTCGACTTACCAGCTCGGACTTAAGCCCTCAGGAAGAGACAGAATACTACTGGAAGGATCTAGTGCAGGGGGGACCTTTGGAATTCTGAGACAGTGTGGTAGGCACAACAGCCACAAAATGGTTTCACAAAATGGCTGCTGCAGGAGGCATAGCCAGCTACAAAATGGCTGACGTGCCTTACCTTCAGTCAAATAGTGAAAATCCTTGTGCTGTGGTGGTAGCTGCTGCCAAAACAACATTTTTTAAAATCTGCACAGCCAATCATATTTCCAAGGGGCAATCAGAACCTGGACAAAAGTTCCACCTGACCCCACCCACTTTCTAAAAACATTTGGTGGACACCAGGAAAGGTCTTGATGGGCTCCACGCCAAGTTTGGTGTAGTGGTTAAGTGTGTGGACTCTGGGAGAACCAGGTTTGATTCCCCACTCCTCCACTTGCACCTGCTGGATGAACTTGGGCAAGCCATAGTTCTAGCACAGCTGTTCTTGAAAAAGAGCAGTTTCTGTCAGAGCTCTCTCAGCCCCACCTACCTCACAGGGTGTCTGTTGTGGAGAGGGGAAGGGAAAGGAGTTTGTAAGCCACTCTGAGACTCCCTTGGGTAGTGAAGGGCGGGGTATAAATCCAATCTCTTCTTCTTCTCCTCCTGATCTAGGACAATCAGGTCATTTCCTGCAGGAGCGCACAGGAACGGGAGCTCCGGCAGTAAAGAGCCCAGTGGGTGGGCACATGCAACAAGCCCCACCCCCTGCTCCCAGCAGCCCCGGGCCACAAGGCACAAGAAGCAGCCAGGTAAGTTGCAGAGGCCCCCCCCCAGATAACAATCCAAAACAGTCCAGTGGCACCTTTAAAGCCAAGGTTTATTCAGGTACAAGTTCTCCCTCCTCTGTGAGGGCAGATCTGTGCATCCCCCCCCCCCAAGGTGCAGAACCCGGGGAAGGCCTCTGGAGCCCTGCCGCCCGCCTTTCCCGATACCTAGCTGGTGTGGGGTGGCAGTGGGGCTTGATTGGGGGGTGGGCCATGGGGGGTTGGAGAGCCTCCCTCCCTCTCCATCTGTTTGCCCTCTTTCTTTCTTTCCCTCCTTCTTTCCATCTCTTTCTTTCCCTTTCTTTCGGTCCTTTTTTCCTTCTCTCTTTCTTTCTTTCCCTCCTTCTCTCCTTTCCTTCTTTCCCTCCTTCCTTCCTCACTCGCTTTCTTTCCCTCTTTCTTTCCTCCTCTCTCTCTTTCTTTCTGTCCTTTTCCCTTCTCTCTCTCTTTCTTTCCATCCTTCTTTCCTTTTCTTCCTCTTTCTTTCCCTCTTTATTTCTTTCCCTCCTTTTTTCCTTCTCTCCCTCTTTCTTTCCCTCCTTCCTTCCCTCCTTCCTTCACAGATCTGTGCGTTCCTCCCCCCCATAGCTAGCAATAAAAAACAGTCCAGTGGAGCCTGAGCAGTGGGTGTTGACACTTCCGGTGATGTCAGGGGGTGTGGCACAGGCAAATAAGTTATGCTAATGAGTTATGCTAATGAGGTCCTGTGCCTCTTTTTCTACGAAATGATTCCTGAGGACAATTAGGCAAAAACCAGGACATTTCAGATTCTTTTCCCATAATCCACCAGGTTCCTCCTTAGGTTCACCATGACCAACCAGATCCTCACCCAGCATTGCTCCGTTTACTACCTAGAAGGAGCAATGGGTCACACAGACCTCTGCATGCCTTGATGTGTAGCACCCCCTTGCAATTGACTGATGATGATGTCTCACCAAGATAATGAGAGCCAGAGTTAATTCAAATCTAGGTTTAAAGTAATAGGTGTGATTCTGTTTTGCTCTACTCAGCTCCCCAAACAGCAGCAACTTTCAGAACAGCCACAAATAAAATTACTTTCATTGCTAGGAGAGTACAGAGACTGCTGCTGTTTTTGTAATATTTGTTTATTTATAAATACATGGAACAGATTCCCAGACAGGCAGATTCCCAAACTGACAAGTGCTAGTGTTCAAAACACCAGTTTTGCCAAAGGAACAGCATAAACCTAGGCTCCTTTTCCCCATTTGTCTGCGTTGACTGTTACCTCCAAAACTGCCAAACTGGGTTATTTCCCACCAGCCTGCCTCTAAGTAGGTCCATAGTAATATCTTTTGGAGAGAAAGCCATTTTGGATAAATATCCAATGAGCATACTTACAACAATGCCAATACACTTTCACTAGCATTTTCCACTGGGAAGAGCTTGCAAAAATGGTACTGGGGAACCAGTTCTGAAAACACCTCTTCCTGAAGGAAATTGCAGAAAAGCAGCTTGGACTTGGGGCACAAGACTCCTTTAAGACAGAAAGGTTCCCCAAAAATGCTTAAACAAAAGCCTGCCAGTGTTCAGGCGGGGCCTGGAGATATCGCAGAATTACAACTGATGTCCAGGCTAGAGAGATAATTTCCTCTAGAGAAAATGGTTGCTGTGGAGAATGAACTCCATGGCATTACACCCTGCTGAGGTCCCTGCCCTCATAAACACATAAACACATGA